GCACCTGTGATGTGATGTGATGTGATGTGATGTGATGTGATGTAACTGTGATGATAACTCCGGATTCGACCTCCAGCACTCTGTCTGGTCCCTAGAGCACTGGCAGGAGTGGCCCCTGGGCACAGTGCCAAGAAGTAACCCCAACCTGCCCCCAAACAACCCCAGCAGTGACTGTTAAAATTTTCTGTTAGAAATTCAAACAAGCCTGCAGTTTCTCCCTGCAGTTAAAGAAAAAAAAAGACATTTTGGTTTTGATGTAGTATATGGATTTATTTGTTGTTTGACTTGTGTTCTTTATCGTTTTGATCTGCCTTGAACTTCTGCCAGGTCAGAGAGAACCTGTCTGGGTGCCAAGTGCAGAAAGGTTCAGATTTGCTGTGGGAACTTCACGGTCCCTTTTGGCCTGGTGGCTGTGCCGGGGTCTTGGTCACCCAACAGAACTGTGGACTTGCATATGGTGGGCCAGATGCTCGCACACTTACAACCTGAATGTTTTTCCCCTTTTTTCCCCCTAGTGATACCATTTGTGAGCCCCACAGCTCCAAGTATTTTTATAAAACAAAACAAAACAAAACAAAACAACCATCACCAAAACCCCCACTAAATAAAGCTTCCCTCCAAACCAGTTGATCAATTTTCTCTTACATTCCGGCCAGGTGTGACCTGCATGACCTGCTGGGGACATGACTCAGCTACGCCCCAAAGCCCTGGGTTCCATTTCGGTCCGCTTCTCTTACCCCCACCACGCCATTGAATATGACTCTTACCCCCCAACACTCCTCATGTGCCCTTCCACCCCCACCCCCAATGGTGGAGGAGGTTTTACACTCCTGGTTTCCCCAGAGTACATAAAGTATTCTCTAACTGCCTCAAGCCTGTCTCAGGAGTTGGCTGTTTAAAAATACCCCAGGGGCAAAATTAAAAGCCTATGCTAAATTCCTCCTTGCTTGGGGAGCTTCCCTCCCCCCCCCCTTCTACTTTCCAATAAACTTTTCTACTTAAAAAAAAGAAAAAGCCACAAAACCCCCACAAGCCTGAGCTATACAGTACCGCAGTAGGGAGTTGCCTAGCATGCGGTAGGGTCCCGTATGATCCCCGAGCACCACCAGGAGTAACTCCTGAGCAATGCTGGTTGTGACACAAAAAGACAAAAACCAAACCAAAACAAAATATCCCAGCCCTAGGTCCAGAGTGAAGGTGTAGCAAGTAAGGTGTTGGCCTTGCCCAAGGCCCCTGGATTGGATCCCCAGCACCCCAGATGGTTCCCCGAGCTTGCCAAGAGTGATTCCTGAGCACAGAACCAGGAGTAACTTCTGAGCATTGCCGGGTGTGACCCAAAAACCTGGAAAACAACAAAAAACCCAGCCCTTTTAGGATAGGAAATACAGCATCCTTTTGGAACCCACTTAACCGAGAGTATCTCGCCCGCACGGCAGAGCCTGGCAAGCTCCCCGTGACGTATTTGATATGCCAGACACAGTAACAACAAAGTCTCCAATGGAGACGTTACTGGGCCCGCTCGAGAAAATCGATGATCAACGGGAGGGGCTTTACTTACTTACTTTACTTAATGAGTGCTAGTTGAAGTTTTTATCCCAGAAGAGATCTTTTTTTTTTTAATTTTAATTTTTTTCATTGAGTCATTGTGAGATATACAGCTACAAAGCTCTTCATGATCGGGTTTCAGTCATACAATGATCCAACACCTGTTTCTCCACAGTGTCCTTTTCCCACCCCCAGTGACCCCAGTTTCCCTCCTGCCACCCCTCTACCCTCCAGCCTGCCTCTCTGGCTCTATGACAGGCACTTACCTTCTGTCCGTCTCTCCCAGAAGAGATCTTTGCAGGGCCAGAGTGATAGTACAGAGGTAGGTATTTGCTTTGCACGTGACCCATCTGGGTTCAATACCCGGGATCCCACAGGGTCCCCTGAGCATCACTGGGTGTGGCACAAAGAGCAAAAACAGAAACAAAAAAAAAATCTTTGAGATGGACTGCTCTGCTCCCGCTTGTCTGAGATGCAGGGACTAGTACCATGGTACCGTCTCCTCCGAGTGGCTCTGGTGCGTTGCAACCTCCCTTCCCCCCTGCTCCAGTCTGGGGCACCCTGGTTTAGTCGGCCTGGTGCAAAGTTTGGAGGCATCTCTGCAGTGAGCTGCTCGGTCCCGAGATTCTTTTGTGTGCCTTTGGATTTAAAACTTTTAAAATGATGGGCACCACTTGATGTTAAAGAATCATGGGCTTGGGTCATTGTATTATTATCATTATTAAAAAATTTGTTAGTATGGGGAGGCTGGAGACTGGAGAGAGAATACAGCTGGGTCAAGCTCTTGCCTTGTACACAGCCAACCCAGGTTCGATCCCCGGCTCTGCGTACTGTCCCCTGAGTCCCAGCAGGAGTGATGCCTGAGCACAGAACTAGGAGTCAGCCCTAAGCACTGGTGTGGTTGTTTCTTGAATCACAGCCCATGGTACTCAGGGCTATGGAGGTCATTGCCACTCCTTAGAATGGAAGAGACACATCCTGTTCTCTCTCTCTCTGGCCCCAGGCTGGGGACTTTAAAAGGGAAACAGGAAGAAAATGAAGTTCCTCTCATTCCTGAGCTCTTTCTTCTTTGCTGAGGTTTTATTGGGAGCACAGGCTTTATTTTGTGAAATGTGTTTCATTTCTTACCTTTAATATGTTTTTTTTCTTTTTTTTGTGAAGCCACTGTGATGTTTTCCCTTTGCTTTTATATTGAGTACATGTTGTAATTTGGGGCTTGATCCTTCCATGATGTGATCGTATGAAACGGAATCTATTTATTTTGTGTTTTTTGTTTTTGGGCCACACCTTGTTATGCTTAGGGGTTACTCCTGACTGTACTCAGGGACCACTCCTGGCCGTGTTTGGGGTGTCAGAGATTGAACCCAGGCTGGCCGAGAGCATAGCAGGGCTTGCTGTCCTAGTACCTTATTGGGTTTTCCTTTATGCAGGTAGATCTGAGACTTCGGGATATGTATTTCTGTACTGTTTCTTCAACACCCTTTAGGGTTTTTAAAAAATTTTTAAAAAATTTTTTATTGAATCACCGTGAGAACAGTTACAAAGCTATCCATTTTAAGTCTCAGTAGTCATACAATGATCAAACACCCATCCCTTCACCAGTGCACATTTTCCACCACCAAGAGCCCCGAAGTGGAGAGAGAGTAAAGTGGAAATCTTCTGCCACCCCTCCCTCTGCCTGTGTGGCAGAAGATTTCCACTTTACTCTTTCTCCACTTTGACCACATTCAGTATTTCAACAAAAGACCCACCATTATTATTTGTAATTTTCCCCAACAGTCAGACCTGCCGAAAAGACATCATTAGATAATTTGTTTTCTAGTGCTAATTATGAAGAGCATATGATTTTGGATTTCTGATATTTTAGTAATAAGTCTGGAGGATTTCTGCCAGAAGCTTCTGGGTTCCGAGATTGATTTGTGTGCCTCTGGAATCATGGTCATTCAGGAGCTGGAGGAGCCGTTCGTGGGTGACAACTTGGGGCATCGTCAGGGCGGGGAGAAGGGCCGGTTCCACCCTCCATCCCATGAGGCCCCTTGTGCCTCGTCACTGAAGTCTCGTACCTGGCTGTCCAATAGGCTCTGAAAGATGGCGGCCACCATGCCGCCGCTGCAGGGGGGGAAAAGGTGGAAGAACGGTGTCATAGTTTAATGCACAGTCCAGATGCATTTCTGCCAAAAGTCACTAGGTTCCGAGATTGGTCTGTGAGCCTCTGGGATCATGGCCATTCAGGCACCCCCTTTAGTTGATTCAGAAACATATTTATCTACTATAAATATATTCTGCTGCTTAGTTGAGTAGCTGTTTTCAAAACCCTAATGCTTGCTGCCTCCCCTGTGTGTGTGTGTGTGAAAGAGAGAGAGAGAGACAGAGAGACAGAGAGATAGAGAGACAGAGAGACAGAGAGAGACAGAGACAGAGAGACAGAGTGGCAGAGACAGAGACAGAATCCATTTTTTTTCAGTGACTACTGGAAATTAAGTTTTGGCTGTAATTTTTAATTTTTATGTGTGTTTTTTTTTGTTTGTTATTTTAGGGGGTGTAAAGGGGCATGCCAGGTGGTGCTCAGGACCTTACGCCTAGCTCTGTGCTCAGGGATCACTCCTGGCAGGGATCGGGGGCCCCATATGTTGTACCAAGGATTGAACCCGGGTTGGCAAAACAAGAGCCTTCTCCACAGTATTATCTCTCCGGACCCCGAATGGAAGCTTCCTGTAGGCTGAGTCCCTTGGGTTGTGTTCTAGGAAGTTCCAGTGGCCTGGGACATCGCTAGCTGATCCTGTCATATCTGGGTTCCTGGTCAGGAAGACCTTCCTTCAGATCTTCCTCTGCTCTTGGACTTAACCATGGCGCTTTCCTGGGGATAGTTTCAGTGTCTTTGCTGTCTCCTGTGCCCATGGGAATGTGCCTGGACTTAGGGTCCATCTCCTGTTCTTCAGGCTTGTGGCTTCGCCTGTCCCAGTTGATGGCTAAGACATTTAGCTGTGCACCTCCTGGGAGACTTTCCGCCTGAGAACACATTCCCTTATTATTATTATTATTATTATTTTTATTTAGTCACCGTGAGCTTCAGAGTTGTTTGTGATTGAATATGAGATGTTTGATGTTCCAATACCAGTTGCATCAGCAACGTCCACTTCCCTTCACCAATGTTTCCAGTTTCTTTCCCACCCACCCACCCACCCATCTGCTCCTATGACAGCCTTTTTCAAAAGTTCAGGCACTGTGATTTATAGTGTTCCTGACACTTGCCACCTTCTAGCATCCCGTCCCCCTCCTGAGTCACCGCTCCCCCCCACCGTTTCACAGTGTTCTCTCTCATCCAGCCCTGCCCTGCTCCTCCCCACCCCCCTGCAGCTCCCTGCTAAAGACCACCAGGACTCATGTTCTTTGGAGAAAGCATTTTAAAATCCCATTCAAGCTCCTGAAATGGATATCACTCTTTTCTGTTGCAGCATGTCCCACGCTACTCAAGAGAGCGCCTGCTGGGGTCCCGGAGCCTCACCTCCGCTGGGCACGACCCGAGTGAAAAGGTACGTGGGGGCAAGTGCTTTGCACCGTCTCTCCCCTGCTTCTCACTCATGCCTGCCAGAGGCTCTGTAAACCCTCCATCTCTCTCCCTGTCTTTTTTTTCCCCCCCATAGTGGGTTACAATCTTAGTCTTTGTCACTTTGTATCTACCCTGAAAAGTGAATGAATTCAAGGTGTTTTCTTTTCTTTCTTTCTTTCTTACTTTTTTTTTTCCCTTTTTGGGTCACACCCAGCAATGCTCAGGGGTTACTTCTGGTTCTGCACTCAGGAATTACTCCTGGCGGTGTTCGGGGAACTCTATGGGATGCTGGGGATTGAACCCAGATTGGCCATGTGCAAGGCAAATTCCCTACCCGCTGTGCTATCGCTCCTGCCCCCAAGGTGTTTTCCTGAGCTCTCTGGGCGCCTTACCCGTCCCCTGGGAAGGTCTGGAACAGAGCCGGCCTCCGCTCTCCTGCATCTCCTTTGCTGGACCCGTGCTGAGCGTGAAGGAACAGTACAGCCGCGCCAGAGGAGGCTGACGATGCTCTCACCTGTCGTACAGGTGTGACCTGGGTTCGACCGCTAGACCTGCCCTTTACCTGAGGGCCACACTTCACTGGCCCTTTCTTCTCTGCAGAAGGGCTCGCTGTCCTAGAAGCCAGATGGGACAGCTGATTGGGTCTGTCTTTGTGCAGGTAGATCTGAGCTTTCACAATAGGTATTTCTTTAACTGATGCTGGGGCTGGAGCAATAGTAGAGAAGGGTGGGCGTTTGCCTTGCACACGGCCAACCCAGGTTTGACCTCTGGCACCCCATAGGGTCCTCCGAGTACCACCAGGAATGACTCCTGATTGCAGAGCCAGGAGTAACCCCTGAGTGTTGCAGGATGTGACCCGACAAGAAAAAAAGAAAAAGAAAAGAAAAAGAAATTGATGCTTAGTCTAAATTTGCCCTCCCTCCCTCCCTCCCTCCCTCCTTCCCTCTCTCCCTCTTTTTCTCTCTCCCTCCCTCTCTCCCTCCCTCTCTTGCTTCCCCCTCACATTCTTTGCTCAGTGCAGGGCTTACTCCTAGCTCTGTGGTCACTGGTCACTCTGGTCAGGGCGTAGGGCAAACAGGGGACTGTATATGGTGATGGGGATTAAACTTGAGTCAGCTGTTTATTGAGGATGGGGAACCGGGGATCAAGCGCTTGTCAACTGAATGCAAGGCAGGTGCCCTACCCACTGCACTCCCTCTCCGGGCCCCCTAAATCCTAGTTTTATCAATGACTCTCAAGTCAAAATTAAGCCAGGTGAGATGTGCTGATTTTATAGAGATGAAAGTCATCTTGCTGTCTCGTGTGTTCCTGAGTCTAGTGAAGAGGGAACTTGGTGACTAGTTCCTCAGGGAAAGGCTGGGCTGTTCCAGCCACCTTGCATTGGCACGAACCCCCTGCGGAGGGTTGCAGTGGTGACTCTGTCACCTGTCTGGCGTCACTCCTGGGGGACAGCTCTGCTTCTGACACCTGCCTGCCCTGGATGTGACTCTCCTGCTTTGTGGGAAAGGGTCTATTAATCGCCCCCGGAGCACTCAGCCTTGGGATCAGATGAGGGCTTGCCCCGAGTGGAACTGCTCTCTGAGTGTTGCATAGACAACAGTTGCTCTGTGTGTCAACTGCTCAGGTGATGGCAGTTTCAGGCGGCCTGTGCTTCTGAGCTGTTGCTGAGTTCTGCCCCTTCTAGTGGTGTTCGCCGAGTGGCCTGAGTCTGGGATAGGCTGGGTTACCCACGGACAGCTCATTGAGGAATTCTGTTTTGTTTTGTTTTTGGGTCACACCCGGTGGTACTTAGGGGTTACTCCTGGCTCTGTGCTCAGGAATTACTCCTGGCGGTGCTCTGGGGACCCTACGGGATGCCAGGGATGGAACCTGGGTTGACTGCGTGCAAGGCAAACCTCCTCCCCGCTGGACTGTGATTCTGGCCCCTCATTTAAGGATTCTGGAACCTGGTCCATGGTGGTTTGTCAGTGTCCTGTTGAACCAGGCCCCACCAGGTCAGTTCCGAGCAGTCAGACGCTGAATGGGTGCTGAGTGAGCCTCTTCTGGGAAGCCACATTCTTAGGATCACGGCCAATAGTAGCAGTGGGAATACTTAGTGTTTTTTTTTTGTTTTGTTTTGTTTGTTTGTTTTTGTTTTTTTTCAGTCCCCAGTTGAGAGTAACAATTTCAAATGTGTTTCTTCTCTCTTCAGACTTTTGATAAAATTCTTGTTGCTAACAGAGGAGAAATTGCGTGTAGGGTAAGTGGAGATTTACTCTTATTTTTATTTCACCCGAGGATTTCTATTTTCAGATACTTTTGGACTGTGATTATGATTAAGCAGTGACCTTCCTGTCTTTTAAAATAGGTCATTAAAACCTGCAAGAAGATGGGCATTCAGACAGTGGCCATTCACAGTGACGTAGATGCTAGTTCGGTAAGTACCCTCTGGCTTGATTGGGGTCAGGGAGAAATAGCAGCAAAGGGTGACAGGGAAAGCTTTGCCAACCCCCTTCTGCCCTCAGCAAGGTAGAAAGGTCGCTGGGCTGTGCAATCTGGTTCTTTCTGGGGCTTTGGGAACTTCGATGTGAGTAGAACATGCTTTGAATGTCTGCTGGTCACCAGCTGATTCAGGTAAAGCCCAGGAGAGTTGGAGGTGGACACGCTGTTGACCAGGGCGACACTGCCAACCTCCTCCTCACACCCCTGGTCAGGACCCTCGGTCCCTGCTGTGGGCAGCTGGGAGTGGGAGGAATAAAAGATGCTAATGGGGTGGGAGCACAGGAAGGAAGAGCATTGGGGGCTGGGTGGATTTTATTGGGGATTTTATGCCCTGCAGACTTCACTTATATTTTATAAAGGATTTAAAAAAAAAAACATGATGCAATAGGAAAAAACAATTTCATAGGAAAAAAATGTAAGTGGTTGGAACTTTATGGAATGGGATATAAGTAATCGTAATTTAGAACACAAGTTGCTGATTTTCATTTTGTCATATAACTTTTCATAAGGGGACCTCCTGGTCATGTCTGCCTTTATCATAGAGTAATTTGATATTATTATTATTATTATTTTTGCTTTTGGGGTCACACCCAGCAATGCACAGGGTTTACTCCTAGCTCATGCACTCAGGAAATACTCCTGGCGGTGCTTGGGGGACCTTATGGGATGCTAGGAATCGAGCCCAGGTCGGCCACGTGTAAGGCAAACGCCCTACCCACTGTGCTATCACTCCAGCCCCAATATTATTTTTTTTTAAATATCAAAATATATGGGGATAGAATGATAGTACAGCAGGTGGGGTGCCTTGCATGCAGTTGATCTGTGTTCAATCCCCAGCATCCCACATGGTCCCCTGAGCACTGCCAAGACTGATTCCTGAGTGCGGAGCCAGGAGTAAGCCCCTGAGCATCGCTGGCTGTGATCTTAAAACAAAAACAAAACAATAGCAACAGAAAAATCAAAACAACAGAAAAATCAAAACATAAATCTCTGTTCTGAGTTCTCATGAAAGTTGCTGTTTGCATGGGTCATCTGACTGATTCATGCTTTTATTTATCCTGTGTATTTTAATATTAATGTTATAAAATACTTTTTTTGTTTTGGAGCCACACCTGGAGGTATGGGCTTACTCCTGTGTGTTCCAGGAGATCACTTTTGCAGTGTTAGGAGTTGAACTGGTGTTGGCCGCCTGCAGGACAAGTACCTTACCCCTTTACTAATATCTCCAGCCCCTGAAATCATTCACTTACCTCGAGGCCTGAAAAGACAGTATAGAAAAGACACCTGCACTCCTGTGTTCATTGCAGCACTATTTCAGAGTTGCCGAACTCTGCCAACAACCCCGATGCCCAGGAATGGATGAGTGGATAAAGAAACTGTGGTATATCCACACCATAAAATTACTCAGCTGTAAGAAAAGAATGAACTTGTGCTATTTGATGCTCTGTGGATAGACCTGGAAAGTACCATGCTGAGTGAATTTAGGACCCCAGAATGATCTTCCTCATAGGTGGGGTAGAAACATGGTAGGGGAATAACGAATATCCAGAGACCTGAGAACTGTTCTTCAGTAGGAAGGTCACGACTTGTCTGGGGGACAGGACAGGGAAGAGGACACTGTGACGCTGGCGGAAGAAAGGGTCGACCAATCAGGAGGGGGAGGGGTGCTGAAAGGTGGAGAATGTTAAGTGTAAAACCCCCTCATTAACAATAGTGGAATGATCACAGTGTCTAAAGTTTATAAACTAAGTGCCTTCTCACAGGGGCAGGCCGGCGGTGGGAGGGGAGCAGGGGACATGGATGGAAGGAAGTGGACACTGTGTAAGGGGTGGGTGCTGGACCATTGTACACCTGAAACTCAGTTATAAATAACTTTGTAATTCATGGTGACTAAATTAAAGAAATGGTTATTTATACCTACGCTGTGCAAGTTGCCATCCCCAGTCTCTGGCTAAATTTTCCCATCACATTTCTCACTTTGGGGATTAGGTCTTTGGGGTTAAGCTCCAGAAGTAAGAAGTCACTTTCCAGACCGTTGTAAAAATTGTTTTCAAAGACTTGCTCTAAGTGTCTTTCTCAGCTGCACTGTTCCTAAAGCAGAGGTGGTAGCTTCCTCCTTGAAAGATTTTCAGCCACATGCTAATGCAGTTTGGTGATGGGTTTCTGACAGTGTGCATCTGAAACAGTGCCTTCCGCGTGCTTTGGTTAAGGGAGAAAAGTGAGGGTGCCAGAGAGTATTGACCAAGCATCTATATGCATAGAAACACGGAAATCACTTATCATGGTGCTAAGGTGCAGCCTAGGGTGTCCCATACCCCAGCTGTGATTCTGGGGAGGAAGGGCCAGTGGTTGACCTGTGTGTCCTTTGCATCCACCAGTTGTCAACAGTTTGGCAGTCACTTCACAGACTCCACAAGAGTGTATGACTGTTCTGCTGTCGCTCTTTTTTTTTCTGCTAAAGAATTTTAAAGTAAATTACATTGTGACCTTTTTCCTCAGAACGTGTCAGGAATCATTTCCTAGGAAAAAGAATGTGCTCTTATATTTCTATCAGACCATATTAAATTATATATCTGTCACTGTCCTGTCCTCCCGTTCTTCATCAATTTGCTCGAGCGGGCCCAGTAACGTCTCCATTGGAGACTTTGTTGTTACTGTGTCTGGCATATCGAATACTCTCGGTAGCTTGCCGGGCTCTCCGAGAGGGGCGGAGGAATCGAACTCGGGTCGGCCATGTTGGCTGTGTGCAAGGCAAACGCCCTATCCGCTGTGCTATCGCTCCAGCCCAAATTATATATATATATATTTTTTTTTAAATTAATTTTTGTTTTGTTTTGTGTTTTGGGCCACACCTGGCTGTGCTCAGGACTTACTCCTGGCTCTGTGCTCAGTTATTCCACCTGTGGTTGCCGGGGGTGAAAGGAGGGTCAGCACATACCTGACCTGTTGTGCTTCATCCCTGCCCCTGCCGAAGGTTTAGCAAAAGTCCCATGAGATAACTTAAGGGGTGTCAAATTTTTGAAATGAAAACTCATGAAATTCGATGTTGGGATCCACTTTTTTGACTTGCAATGAATCTGACTTGAGCATGTAGTCAAGTGCTCTTAAAGGCTCAGTTACGGTGTTCCGCAGTCTCAGGACCTGCCTGCTTGTATGTGGCTCTCCTAGAGCCGAGATTGGGGTGCAGGCTCTTGAACATGTGACGCATGTGTCCCCCCCACCAGCTGATGGGTTTCCTTCTGTGGGTGACCCCATTCTCACCTTACATTCTCTCTCATTAAATCGTAGCATGTCATGTTCGGGGGTGCAGATTTGCTCTGCCCTGTTGGGTGAACATGTTGTTGTTTTTTTCCTTCTAGACTCTCTAGGGTATCACTGATCTGGACAGAGTCTCGTCTTAATTTCTTGTCCTAAAGGTTGCTTAATGATGAGGGCAGCAGTGAAAAGAAGATACACCCCCCCCCCACCCTCCCACCCTGTCCCCCACCCCAGTGTTGAATAAGCCCACAGCTCCTAATTCCCATAGATCTTTACTTTCCCACTGAACCACAGCAGATAATGACACGTGTTTGTCTTTGCCTACTTAGTAGTTCGATTACACCGTTGTCACCAAGAATGTCATTTTCCAGCGACCTGGCTCTCTCTAGGGAGTTCTCCTCCTAATTTGCAGCTCACCCGCTATTCTGCAAGAAACTCAGTCCTCTCCATCACTTTCCCCTAGCCTCTTCCCAACCCTGGCCCCTTTTTCACCTGGTTTCTTTCCCGTGGCTCCTGTCCTACTGGCTGGCCATTAGTTTTATGGTGCAGCTGCCCCTTGAGAAAAGGCTGCTGTGCCATTTTCACCTGTGACCCCTGTGACACCTGTGGACAGCCCTGGGGCCCACAGAGACTGCTTGGACCCCTGTTGAGAAATACTGCTCTTGATGATGATGATGATGATGATGATGATGATGATGATGATGGTGATGATGATTTTGGGGGCTACGCCCGGTGGTGCTCAGGGATTCCTCTGGCTCTGCACTCTGGAATTGCTCCTGGTGGTGCTCAGGTTACAATATGAAGTGCTGGGGGTTGAATGTGGGTCAGACGTGAGCAAGGCAAGCACCCTGCCCACTCTACTCTCTCTGCTCCCTGCTGTTAATTATTGAGTCCTCTTTCCACACACTCACGTCTAGCCTTCAGGGTTAGCTGGGGTATCTGCTTTTGACCTCTCTCTCTCTCTCTCTCTCTCTCTCTCTCTCTCTCTTTTCCTCTCTCTCTCTCTATTTATTTGCCACACCTAGCTGTGCTCAGGGCTTACTCCTGGCTCTGCATTCAGGGATCACTCCTGGCAGTGCTCAGGGGACCACCTGGGGTGCTGGGGATCGAACTCGGGTCAGCTGTGTGCGTGGGGAGTGTCTTTTCTTTTCTTCTGATCCTTGGGAATGCTTGTAGCTTCTTGTAAGCCAGGCTTTCCACGTAAAGGATCTTTAATATATTTATTCTAGGACATTAGATGTTTCTGTGGAGTGTGTTTTGTGTGTTTTCAGTTGCCTTTATGTCATTAAAATAATATGGCATGTTCTTCTCTGTCCACAAAGTTTTCTTGCTTGCTTAGAGAAGAAAAGGCTGGTTCAGAACCATCTCCCCATCAGACTTGACCCGGAAAATAGCCTCCAGGGCCTCTTCGTAAGCAGTGGGCAGTGCTCAGGGCAGGAGAAAGCTGTCTGGGCTCCAATGGGAAATGCTGGATCAGGGAAAGCTTGGTGGGGCTTAAGCCTCTTATCATGTCAAGATTGTCTTTCTGTATCCTCCCTGAGGCCCTTCTTTGTAGATGTTTGAGGGAGGTTAAGATGACAGTCCTAGTGAGAGATTGCATTAAGATGGCAGTCCTAGTGAGAGACTGCATCCCGCTGGGATTTTGAGGGTTGTGCTGTATCTGTAGATCAGCTTGGG